AACTTCAAACTAAGTAATTTATGCAACTTATCCTAAAATTAATTCGAAAAAAATCTCGACCCCCCCTTTTCGTCGCACCTCAAGTGTTCCCAGCCCAGATTCCTGACATCGACCACGACAGTCCACTTATGGACCATACAGCCATACACTTCACTCATCTGGTCCATGACTCTCAAGAGCTGCTCCAAGTTGAACATCATCTGAGTGCAGAACTCGTCGTCTGACATGGACATGGCGAACCCCTTCACAGTATTTAAGACATGATTTACGAGGTAAGCAAGGCAGTGCATTCAAATCAGTAAAAAAAAAAATTGTATCCAAATTATATTAAAAAAAGGTATTTCAAAAAAATGGTTTTTTAAGTGAACTGTCCCACTCCCCCCTTAATTCAATTTAGGCAGGAAATTATTCACTTGGATAAGCTAATCAGATTGTTTTTCAGGTAGTCACAATTTGGAAAATTGCAGTTGGACTTACTGCATGAATTTGTCGAATAAATTGACGGGCTGATCGTTAACTTGGTTAGTTTAGGGAGATATTGTTATAATTGATATTCTAATTTTACGTCGCAATTAATATTGCTTTTTTAAAACAAATTTCGACATATTTGCAAAAGATTAGAATTGAAATTCAGAGATTATCATGAAAATGCAAAAACCTAGAGGAACATGTTTTGGAACCAAAAGCTGCAGGTAAGCATTTTTTAAACAGAGGGTCAATTTTTAGTACTACTTCATTGCGGTATTTCTTGAAATGTTCAAAAGATACCTCAAATAGTCGACCAAAAATTGAAGGGGGAGGATAGTTAAAAAGATCTGAAAAAGACTGCTTAATTTCAGTTGTTTATTTTTTTACTGCACATGCCTTGACGTCCAAATTGCCCGGGAAGTCATATACAACTGGGTGTCCTTCCTTGTTTCTCCCCACAATGCCAGAGGGATAACACTGCGTGAACACTTCCAGGGGTTCAAATGAAGTCAAAAAGTTCGCATTATCCACGCCGTATTTTCTATCACGTGCGACGAAAGTTATAAATATCCGGGTGAAAAACGTCACCAGGTAAATTAACCGGAATTTTCGCTTAAATATTATTCAGATGCCAATCCATTACGTTCAAATAACACGTTAGCCGAAAATAATTATCCGAACAACAAAAAACTAACTGTTTTTTCCATAAGTTAGCATTGATTTGGTTTTACTGTCAAAGTTTTAGCGGTTCGCGGAAAAAAGTTTTATTATAATTAAAATCGGATATTTAAGTTAAGTCGTTCCTTCTATACGCCAACATTTGTTCATACATAATCACAGTCTCTTCTACATCCATTTTTCTCGCTCGCAAAAACCGAGACAAGTCGTAATCCGAATGAAACGACAGCACTTTGTCGGATCCGAGACGGGCTCGAAGTTGTCCAATTGTTACTTTTAAGTCGCGGTCTGTGATTTCAGGTACGAAAGTGTTCTTGATTTGATGGTTGAGGTCTAGGGGTATTCCTTTGGGCAAAAGAGTCGAAACCGCCGAGCTCATTTGAGTAATAAAAGCTTCCGAAGGCATTTTTGTTAATATAGTTGTCGAATAATTTAACAATAAACAGATTTTACAATGAACTTGATAATAATTTGAGAGTTAAATAATGTTTATAAGAGTTCGATTGATTAAAAAAACGCCACGAAGAACTTAAGCAAAAGGTCCAATTTTAGTTTTTAATTTAGTTACAGCTCAAAAATGAAAGATATCCTATTTACTTGAGAATGATACATTAACACTTTCGTGATCAGTGACAAATATAACGCAATCAATTCTCATATAATATTGTATACTTTAGCTTGACAGACAAGAACTAACTGTTGTCTCTCTACCTCTGACGTTTTCAGTTACCATAACACATCGATCTTATTTCCGGAATGGTCACACGAAATCAAATTTGCTTTCAGACGACAAGTTTTAAGGAACAAGATGAAAAAAATATATTCAAGGTTGAAACGGAGGTTTGTTTAAGCAGCGAACAGTAGCTGAACGCGTTCGTTACCTAATGGGTACCCCTTGGAACTATTTCATTACTTTTTCTCAAAATATTCCTGCACCGCAGAAATCTTACGCATCATGGAAACCTTTTGATGTTTTAGGAGACGTCAGAAAAACAAAATGATCCATCATGAAGGCTTGAACATTAAGAATGACAGACACTGAGGCAAGATTCTGTAAAGCTAGTAACAAAAAGTTCCTTCCAACATTTTTTTTATGCAGAGGCGAAGTTGCACTTCGCATACACATGCAAAAATATGACCGATATTGCTACTTGGACAAACTGAATGAGTAAAACTTTGAGTCTACAAAATTTTCTTAAGTGACACACGCCAATTATGACGCAATAGCAGTACCAGTCAATTTGACAAAAAAAATTACCAACTAAAATGCCTGAACTTATAGAGCGGAAGCATTTCAACGAGTATACGAAAAATTTCATTGAGAATATCCGACCCTGGCCAGGTTCGAACCCTCGTACTTTGTTGCGGTCTCCTTCCCTACCTCTACACTACAGATCCATGATACCCTGAATTAAAGTGCTATTTGTAATTTAATAGTCTGTGTTAAAATCCTTAGCACTGGCTGTAGTTAATAACTGGTTATTGACCAAAATAAAAGATGAAAGTCAGATTGAAAAAATTTGGAAAACGTCGAAACAAAATATCAGTCAAAATTGTTGTACGTTTGTCTCTAATAAAGTGCAGATAAAAACATATCAAAAATAAAATTCTCGAGATTGATGTACTACTAAAACAAACTGATTTTGCAATTTCCTGAGCAAAACAAGACTTTGAGTGGAAGTCAAAACATATTTAACAGACCGAAGTTGATTGGTAGTTTTGAATCAACTGTTTTTGATTAGCGCTTTTTGAGTAAAGTTACCTCATTCAGAGAAAATGGATCAATACGTAGTTTTTCTTGTCCGCTGGAAAATCAAAAGTTTTTTAACCAGAAGTCATTCACGTTTTTCGTGACCTTTTCATTTTACTGTTCTATAGTGTATTTGGCCGTCATTTAACAAAGGAAATGACGTGACTTATACACAAAGGCGAAGCGGAGCTCCGCATCACTTGCGATACAACGAAAGCGTTCCATTGCAAGCTACTAAATGGTCAGTGAGACGGAAATAAATATGGTTAGACGCCAATTGATCCGAAAACAAAAATACCAAAGGAACTGGTTGTCATAAAAAATAACGTTTTTTTTTAAAACATAAAAAATTCAACCTATAAGTTAGACGAGAAATGTAGTCACTAGGATTAAACAAGCTTTGAGTCTTTTGCAAGTGTTCACTAAGTCGACAACACGTGGTTAGACGACAATTAAACCAGAAATGTCAGAGGAAATTGTCATAAAAACAACTTTCAGCAATTAAAAAGTTTGAACTTTTAAATTTTCTACTACCAGCTGACTTGATTTAACGAAACAATATAAATACTTTTTCTATCCTTTTAACGATGCAAAAGAAGTTCACTGAACCAAAAACAAGAACCCAAACAATTTAGGCCGAAAAAATTCTAAAGGAAAAGAAAAACTCAAAAAACGGAAATTTTACCAGTCAGGTATAGTATTTTTTTAGGAGTTAATCAACGACACTTGAGATACAATGATAGCTGATTAACGCGAAAATAAAATGTGAAGTGGCACACGAGCCGACAAAACAGAAATAGATGTACTTCAATCCGACTAATCAATTTTTCCCAGGAAAAAATTTTAATTTCAGACACTGAAAAAAAATCAAGTCGCGGTCGGGACTCAACCCCCTGACTTTAGGTTTCAAAGGCATTTGCATAACTTCCAGACCAAGTGCGATGGGGCCTGGAAGTTGCTAAGGTTTGCTTATAAAGCAACATCAATTTCAAAAGTGAATGAAAAGTTGTTTACGGGAAAAAGTCTAGTTACGGATTACAAGATACTTGCTCTCGCAAGTATAAGTCATACAGGTTACATCAAAACACTTTCAGTAACAAAAAATATCATACAAAACACGAAAGTTTTAAAAAATGTGGTAACTAAGCCAACAAACCATAAGCAGACAACTCATAGGCCGAACACTTTTGATAATAATTTAGGTTTTAAAAAAACAGGGGCTGACTGGATTCGAGCGTAGTCCCTTAACCGTCTTTTAGTTTTCGTAACAATATTTAAATTTTCAAGAAAATGAGCATGTTTGCTGCAGACATGAATGCTGCACAAATGATTCAGTGATTGTTTAATTAGTTAACCCGATTCTTTCTAGCAAGCTTAAATAGAATCTATCAAACCACGAAAAATCAAATTTATTTCAAACAACATATTATGTTTAGACAACTAAACCGATCTAAGCTATGACCGATGAAACCCTTGAGCGAAATAAAAGGAAAAACACCGAAAGACTCTCTACAGCCTCTACACCATCTGCGAACTTTAAAATTAAAATAATGCAATTACATGCAGATGCAAAAACAAAGCAAGGATTTGGAAAAACTTCAAAACTTTTCAGCAAAAAGCGCTTAAAATTACGCTTTAATCTGGTAACTTATTTAATTCTACTATTAGGACTTGATAAATGGCATTCACGATGTTAAAAGAAAGCAAAAAGAGTTCGTGCTACGGGAGCTAAGACAACAAAAATTAACAGACAGACAGTAGCCCGAAAAAGCAGATGCTTTCCAGTTTACAAAAAAAGATGCCGAATTGACTCAAGTCCAGTTCTTTTTCATCTCAAGCATGGGTATTACATCTACTTCAATTGCATTAAATGTTTTGTAAAATTTGAGTAAAGCAAATTGGAACTCGTGTAACTTTTTAGCGATCGAAATCTTTCAATAACACTTTTTCGGGAAAAAAATTTAGTGCCCTGTTGCAATGTACTTACAATGATCAGAAAAAGTTTTCTACTTTCTTTCTGAGGAGCTTTAGTATCTTATGCAGCTCTTTAGCAATCTAGCGCAAAACAGCATTAGATGTGAAACTCAAAAACGTGGAAAAAAACTCGCTAATTAAATCTATATTTAATATAACTTAAAAACTTAATTTTGGTTCCACTAACTATCGTCTGCGTTACTTTGGCAAACTTCAATAGCGACCGAAATATTCACAGTTTTTAGCCATTTATTTTCGAAATAAAACACAAAATTATCACTTCTTCCAACTTCTACGGATCCTTCGACAATTTGCTTTTCAACTCCAATAGACTTTCGAGGCACATTCCAGACTTTGTCCTTTTTCCCTTGCGAAGATAGAATGAAAACTCCGAATCGAACCAGTTTCGAATCGGTGCAGAATTTGTACTTGATGACGTCATTTTGATCAGCCCATATTTCTATTTCGTGGTGGTTTCGAGGAGTGATTTGAACATGGCGCATTGAGGTGTCGCTCTGGATGAGGTTGTACTTGTACAGATTTGGGTTCACTTTGGACCCCAGAGAAATCCACTCCTTACACTCTGGGTCTCCGTTGGAGTCCACTGAAACAAAGAGATTCAGCGAAAACCAAACACACAAGGCATGCAACATTGATTCTCAGACAACAAAAAACTTTTCTACACTTAAAAAAGGAAAAGCACATGAAAGAATTGGAAAACAAACTTGTGGATATTTGATACTTTGTGGATATCTTAGCTTTTTTTAGTTAGCGTATTAAACTTTCAGACAATTTTGAGAACGACATCAATTCCTTGTTATATCATCTCCATACTATCTCCTTTTTTGTGACATTTAGATCCTTTACAAACATTTAAAACATTCAGGAAAAAAAACGTTTTTTGGGTCTAGTGATACAAATCGTTTTGTCGTTTGAACCTCTAAAAATACTAAGCCGACCTGATGTTCTTCGACAAAAAACGACGTTTCCAGTTCTTTTTTTATAAATAAATGAAAATGATTAGAAAAAAAGAACACACACCTAATGTTCCGCCGTATACAACTGGCAACTGATCCGCATCCACATAGTTCAACAACTCCCCCGTATTCTTAGTCACCACTATTTTCTCCCTGGTCGCTTCCGGGATGAAAGGGCGGAACAGTTTGTACCCTATGTCGAATAGGGGCGAGAGGTTCACTACTATCAGCTTGTGAACTCTCTCGGGATATCCGATGTCAAATAGACGCTGGATTTTGGCGTTCCTCGTCATTTGGGATTTACTGGAACGAATAGGGAAATTATTGGAAAATAAAGGGAAAATCAATTTACAGTTTAATTGCACAAATGGGTTTACAGAATTCGAAACGATTTGAAAAAGGATTTCAATGAACATAAATTGAACTACAGAACACCCACTTGATCTATACACACTTCAGAATATTTCACCCCTAATTGATATCAACATCAACATTATCACTGGGTTCTTTTGTGCTCTCTTTCTTGAACTTCATTTCTCGACTTGCAAAACATTTGCAGGAAAAACTCGCTAAATGTTCTTTGTTACAGGTCCCAGCAAAGGGCACATTGAGCTCTTAAGAAATATTAACGGCTCTTTTCCAGTTCCTTCTTCAATTTCTTTTATTTAAAATGACTTTTGATGTTCTAAACTGCTATAATAAATATCAGCGTGAACAAGTGAGCTTGTTTTTAAAACATTTCTCACATGCAAATTGATGAAGAAACAATTTTTTTGCAACTCCAACTTGTAGTTTTTCGAAGGAGGCGGGAAACTGATTAAGAGCCGTATTGACTTTGTCTCACCTGAAGAGGTCGAAAGACAGTTCTCTTACATCCACAATGACAGTCCATTTGTCCACTAGTTTCCCCTCACTCAGACTCTTGTTCTCCATCATCAACAGAAGCGACTCCAGATTCCACAAAATCTAAATTGAGGATGGAGATTAAGCTCGATTCGATTAAGAACTAATATAGCCAGCAAACAGTTGCAAAAGAATGAATGAACGCAATGAAACAAAAATACTGGTTTTTCAATAAAAAGTTTCAACTATCGATTTTCACAAAAAACCAATATGAGTTTAAAGTCCTTTCAATAATAAAATTAAATTACGATTGACACTTTCTTCATAAAAACTAACGAAAATTTAGAAAACCAAATTGATTTCGAAATTGGATAGCGCAATTTACCTTCCTTTAAGCAAATGAATTGGATTTCAATTTAAAAATGAATTGAAAGTCAAATCACAAAATATCATTTTTGATGTGAGCTAAATTTTTCCGGAAAACGAAAAAATCTAAACGACCGCGCATCTGCACATACTCCGATGAAAGATATCATTATCACAACTTGGACAAGAAAAAATACCCAAAAATCAACAAAAACCTTGAAAGATCCTTGAAAGTGTAAAATAACAATAAAGCAGCCGATTGCAGGTTTTTGAAAAATCGACGAAAAAAAAACAGTCGGTAAAAGGAAATGTTTTCTATAGCGCTTGACTAGGCCAAAATTGAGCCATAGAAACCGCGCAATTAACTATGAGGCGCAAGAAAAGTGGCGTCGTAATTCATTACACAGCACTGCTTGTTGCAAAAAAAAGGAACAAATGATAGCTTGAACAATTTTAGAGAAAAGTTTTTCCGTGAGATTTCTTTATCAATATCATTTATGGTGGTAGTTTGGCAAGCAGACCTCAGGAAAAATACCGAAATGAATAACCGATAAATAATTGTAGTGAAATGTGAAAATAGTATGCTTAGTAGAATACATGGTTCTTTTCCCCTTTCCCCCAACATTTCAAAATTGCTTAGTCGTTTTACGTGTGATTATGTTTGAACGCGTGATTTTACTATCTAAATATGAATACCACATGCATTCACAATAGTTAAGTTGTTCACCATGAAAAATTTCATTATACCATGACAAAGTAAAAACTCTTTAGCATGTTAGTGAAAAAGAGGAAGAGTACCGTTGCATTAAACCAACTTTGAAGCGACACAACGTGAACTGATGACAAAAGGCAGAAAAAATACTTTAGGTCTCAAGTTGCCCAACAAACTCCAAAATTCGTTTTAAAGCAGATCAATCAAAAGTAGAGAGAAAGGCTCTTAAGCTGGTCCAAATTTAACAATTAAATTAACACAGATTGGGTTAACCAGAATTTCAAAAAAAGGTCAAAACGGACGAAAAAGAGAAGAGTGCTATCGCTCATTAGATCAAATTGATTTATAATAAGACTATCTTTTATAAAAATTGAATTTTTTGCACATTTGTTTAAATGACTGTAGGCTGGAATGATCTATGATAGCGCTGGTGAAGTACACTTCGAGTCTCCACTTTTTGAGTTTCAATCAGAAATTAACGAAATTACATAGGGTTAACAGGAAGGCAAAGCTGCAGTTCGCACAAAAGCAAAAAAAAACAAGCTTTGAGGAAAAAACAAACCGGTTGGAAAAAAATTCAATTAAAAAAAATTTGTGAAATAATATCCAAAATAGAAAAATTGGAGACATCAGGATTCGAACTCGGACCGCCCGACCAAAAGTCACCTGTATCAATTTCTTAACTGAGGTCATGAATAAATTGCTTTCCAGCATTTTTCAGCACCGAAACAGACTAACTAAGCGGGTATAGCTGGATTATGCTGTTTAATTTACACGAACTTAAAACAGCCACAAAACTGTGGAAATAAACGTGCGAGACTGGTTAACAAAATAACAGATCTTATTGCACTACGTTTGCAAGCTCGCTTGCGTCACAAAAAAACTTGATAGTGCTATATTTTTCGCTATTTACTAGCTCCAAGATCCATTGGATGGGATGTGCTTACATTTTCTGCAAAAAACTTGCGAAACATTGCCTAACAAATCAGAACCACGAAATGATTATAAAATTATTAAATACTCAACATACCTGTTTTGCAAATTCGTCGTCTGAAATTGCCAGCGCAAAACCCTTCACGTCAACACGACCAGGAAAATCATAGACTATCGGATATCCCTCTTTGCATTTTCCCAGTAAGCCGAAAGGATAATGATTCATAAACGCCTCCAAAGGAGTATGAGAAAGCAGAAAATCTGGTTCGACCAATCCGAATTTCGATCTAATTTCCAGCATTTCATCGTACATCGAAACCGTTTGATCGAGGTTGAAATTTCTCGCTTTGAGGAACCGTAATAAATCCTGATTAGAATGAGATTCCATGACTTTATCGGCCAATAATTCACGGAACTTGATCACACAAGATAGTTGAGCTTCATCTGTAATTTCTGGATTCAGAATTGAGTTAACTTCTTCCGGTGATAATTTATTTCGGAGTTCAAGTTTAGTTTGAAGGAGGTTTTGGATATTTGATTTATAATCCCGCGCAAGTAAGTCCTTACTGTTCATTATATCGAATCAAAAAATCTTCGGTGACTATATTTTTTTAAATTTCTTTATAACTTTGCATATAACAAATTAAACGAGTTGGTCAAAACTCTCCTGACTTGATGACTACAACTTTAATTAAATTTATCAAAAAGAAAACTATCTGGTGATGGTTTTAAATATTTTGTAATAACTTTAGAAAATCACATCAGCGTGAAGGCAAGTCGTCAAACTCGATTTCTATCCAAAAATGGCACTAAAAACTTCACAGTTCAATGCAGTTTAGAGTCATTTATTGTATTATTGCTATTAAATAACAGAACTTACAAAGTAATTGATTACATTTACAAAATCTCAAACAGTTGAGAGGAATATTTTGAGCAAACAAACTGATTCCAACAAAATATTACGGAAGTTCAAGATGATATAAAGTTTGATTTGTTACAAAACAAGAGTAGAAATAAACATTAAACAAAACAGAAAGAGCATTAAAAAAATCAATGATGTGACTTGTGTAGAGACTACTCCTTTACTAACCCTCGTATGCAGGTGGGAGTGTTGTAAGCCTGGACTACTTGCCAGTAGCTGTTGGAGTCATCCTGGTCATTCACTGCAGTGACAGACTGTTGGCCACTCCCACTACCATACTACACAAACACACAACAACAATCGACTTAGAAGAAGTTTCGTTTCAGCTTAGATAGCGGAAGACTGATTATAAATTTGACACAAAGACGAAGCAGCACTTTGCAAACAAGCGAGATAACGACAAAAGTATCTCTTCAAAAATAAAAAAGAGAAACTAATTGCTGAGCCAACATACAGTTGGAAAATAGTCACCGAACGGAAGTAAACAGATAAAAATATATTGACTTGAGATTTTTTTATTCAAAAAAACAAGTCAATATATTTTTATCTGTTTCGAATTCCGAATTCAAAATTAGATGGCATTAATGCTCTTTGAATTTCTAGGCTAACTTATCATTGACAAAATTTTGGTAAAAGTAACCCAATATGAAAAAACTGGATCAATGGGTAAACTTTTTATTTGGCTGGGGAACCTGGTAATTTAAATAAATTTTCGAAATTAACAGTCAATCAAGTTTGTTTTTAGTGACCTTCTCACTTTCGCTGTTCGATAGTAGAGTTTGCCTTTCAATTAACAAACGAAATAAACTGACCTAAAAAGAATTCAAAAATCAAACCGCAAAAAAGTAAATTTGAGCCTGAACAATTTTAAAGACTTTACATTAAAAAAATAATCATGGCCTGTATAAATTTTCTATGCCGGAATCGAACCCCGACCTCGAGTGTAAAACTCAAACGTCCTAGCATCTACCCCATTATCGCTAGACAATCAAATACCAGCCACCAAAACTAGATACAGTGATATAATGCTAATGCAGCAAAAGAAAACCAGATAAACTGCGAATGCAGAGATGTATATCAGATATAAAATAAAAATTCTTTTTCAGCAATAAAAGCCTCCAAATGATTACTTTCATTTGCAGCTCGGGTAAAAACAAAATGACCTCGTAAAATAACACTACGCTATCCATGTGTAAAAACTACTACTTAGAAGATTTTAAGAAGACACGAAAAATTTGAAGCCCAGCGTTCAATTTAGATCAAACCGACAAGCGCTGCATTTTAATTTATTTACAAAGACGAAGTCAAGATTGGCATCACTTGCGGTACAACATAAACATAGAAAACATAAATGAGGAAAAATGAAGAAAAAAAAACAAGGTTTCGTGAAATTTTCATACAACTCGGTAGAAGTTCTTTTAGGCAAAGATCCCAGAAATTTGAATTTTAATTTAGCAACAACAAAACTTACAAAGAGGAAACAAGGTCGACAAGCTTTGAGCAGACACAAAAGGAGGCAAAAAAATAATAATTTAAAAAAAAAGAAATTCAAGTCCCCTGAAACTACATTGAACAACATTTGCAGTAACAAATTCAAGGAAAATTGCTTACAGAACAAGAAAAAAACCGCGATAAGTCAACAAAGCCAAAAATCTTTCTTAAGTTGAGCCGAATTTTTTTGGAAGTTGTCAAGTCCTCCTGAAACTACATTGAACGACACTATCAATCACACACGCATCATTGAAGCCCACAACCTTGAAGGAGACACCAGTTGAGCCGAAAAAAATAATGTGATTTAAAAAATTTAAAAGTTTTCATGTCTTCCCTGAAACTACATTGAACATTTGCAGTTGTAACTACAATGAAAATTGCTTACAGGACAAGAAAAGTCCTTGATGAGGAACTAAGCCAACAAAACTTGAGCAGACAAACGAAAGTCAGACAATTCAGTTTTTACCAGAAAACACTCAATTGCATACATACTGGAAAATAAAACAAGGCCCTGCCGGGACTCGAGCACCCGAGCTTAGCGTGCTAAGGGGACGTCTGTAGGAAAAATTGTTTACATTGAAAAAGTTCAGTTCACGATTACAAGACACTTGCTTTCGCAAGTGTAAAGAACGCTAATTTCTGATCGGCTGAAAAATTTTCAGGAATTCGACCCTCTTCCGACCCACAGGGTCACCTTTTTGCACTATTCTGAGAAATCCATTTTTTACTGATTGAACCTAAAAATTATCTCACGGCGCCAATATATACTAATTTGAATATTAAGGTGGTAAAGTGCGCCAAAAAAAGGCAATTTTTGCTCAAAATTTACCAAAAAAAGTGCCTAAAACTGCCTTTTTGGACTAATTTTATTCCAAAATTTGCCTGCAGCATAGAAAACATATTCGCAATAGGGTCTTGCTACTGATTTGGGAGAGCTCAGGGTAGAATTGAATCAACCCTTCGTCTATGTTTTCCTGATAAATTGATTTTGCAGGATTCATTGATATTTAATTTCTTTAGTTGAAGACTCGTTCATTTGCAACTTAATAATCCTTTACAACTATCTGACTTTTCTTGGAATTCAATTAACTTCTGCTTGCTGCAAACTGCCGCTTTTAGCGAAATACAACCTCCAGTTAATAACCATTCCTGAAAATATAAAAAACCATACTTAATTGGATTATGTAAAGTCACTATTTAGGCAAAAATTACGCATTAATTAGGTTTACAATTGCCATAAAGAAAATTACCAGATTAATTATACAAAAAAGTAAAGTGATGAATAGTTTTGAATCTTTTTTTTTACATGCGTTGTAAAACATTTATGTAGGCATTAATCACTCAACACTTGCCGAGAAACAAAAAACTTATTCTTTTCTGAAATAGTTGGATGTAATTTACAACTAATCAGGTGCGGATCTAGGCTTTTCTCGAGCAGGAGTGCGGATTTTAAAAAAAAATTGTCGATTTTTTTCTCCGCGCGCTCCCCCCTCGGCGCCACGGGCGCATTTAGAAGAATTTTAAGGTACGTCAGACAAAAAAAAGATATAAAGGGGACCCTTTGGTTCCGCATGGAGTCGAATTCCTGAGTGGAAAAAAAAGATCCATGGATGATTCCCTCAGGACTCGAAGGAACCCAAATTTACAACAGCCAATCAAAACTCGGCAAAAGTATGAATTGCGCCCAGTTTCATTTACTAATCGAATTAAATCCACATTTAATATCTGTAACTACAACTGCTACTGCAAATAACTAAACTTCAACCTAAGAGAGAAAAGAAAATACATACTAGGCTACAAATCGATGCGTATTGAACACAGAGGCGAAGCGGAGCTTCGCACCACTTCCGATACAATGCAAACATTGAAAAAAACATGTCGAAAAAAAATTAGATGCTGAAAAACCAAATTGTTTGTTAGTCTCGATGAAAAAGAATCACAGGCCCAGCTAAAGCTGGAGGTTCCTGGTCAGATTCTAACCCAGGACCTTTGACGTCTCAAGCATATTCGAAACCTCCATGCTAAATGGACCGGGAACGCATGAAGTTTGAAATCAATATGAACCAAGATACAAGTGATTCTGATAATCAAGTTGTTAACCCGAAAAAAGCCTATATTCAGGTTTGAAAAAGCTTGCTAATCGCAAGCCTAATCAAAATATGGAAAATGGTTCGCAAATAACCTTCTAATTATTTACCTTCACATCATGAGAGTGGAGTCTAACTGTGGCGTCGGCATTGAGAAGTTTCACTAGTGACCCACACGTCACATGTTGTAATGTACACAGGCTGCCTACAACATACAATAGTAATTTCAGAAACGACTCACTCAAAAGTATTTATCAAAGGAAACTTGTACGAATAAAAGTATACTTTTATGAACATTCAGGGTAAAAATTACTTGCGGCCAATTTAATCGAGAGAAACTCTCGAATCATACACTGGTCGACATAAAATATATGAGGCACAACAAATTTTTTTCAAAGTTTTTCGAGAAATTATTAAATTCAAATGGTTTCTCTGGGACTTGCCTTCAAACGATAATTTATCGAGAAACGATACCGAAGAACTTTGTAAACGTTTTCACTGTTTTTTTTCAAGGACTTAATTTTTCTACCTTGTTTTAGCCACCCTTCCTGGAAAACTTGCCATTTTCAGGTCAAAACTTTGAATAAAAGTAAATGATTAGCCATACACATAGTTTTTTTGGATCAAAACTGGTATTTTCAATCAAATTTATTAGGAAACAAAAAATACACTGGTGGACACCGTTCAACGCAAACTCAGGTTTCTACCATCTAAAAAGCTCATTATCAAGATCATTTAGGACACTATTTACTATGATTTTTAGCAAAGCTTCTTTAAAGATCCGCGCAAATGAGTTAGGACCGATGTGGTTAACTCATAGAGTAATTTCGGATAGGGTACACCGTCTGCTCGTCACGCTATCTTATTTTCGGCCGGATAGATTCGTGCAACTTCTTAGTCTAATACCGATCCTAATCTTACTCTTATACTATCTAGTCTCAGGTTGTTTAACTAGTCTCTGCTAGGCTCAATAGATCTAGGGTATACTGGTTTATTGCGGCTGCTGAAGTTCTCTTGGAGAGGCAACTATATTCTAAGTTAAATTCAAATCTCTCTGGTGCTGAAATTACATGTAATTTCAGCACTTACAAATAAGTGGGTTGTTAGTTAGATGGATCATGATTGGTTAATATTAAATACTTTACAGTGGTAAAATATCTAATTTATCCAATCATAAAATGTAGTTTAGATCAGGTTCCACCCATCCGGGTTGAAAAGAATTTTTTAGAATTGTCTTTCTGCAATTCAAAGGATGGATGATGGACGTTGGTATTTGGCGAACATCATATTCTTATCCGGTTTCTCTTGTTAGAGAAGTTCCACGACGCTGGAATGATGGATATCAATCGTTGTGTCTTCTTGTGACAACGACTGTGTTTCCCAACGAAATCAATCTGATTTCAGAATGGTTTGCTATGACGGGTTTTTCTGTTTCATGTAGAGAACTTCTTTTGTGTTCGACCTCGTCTGGGAATGGCGTGGAGATTGTGCGTGGAGGGGATGCCTTGTTACTCGGATCTGTACGTATACTTGAACATCGAGGTGGTCATTGGTCTAGTTCAATGAAGTCCTTTTCTGCGAAGTCAAGTCGTACTCTAAATCCTTTGAGTTGTGATTGTGGACGGCATATTGGTTGTGGTTGGTCATTCTTTTTCGAGTGTAGTGGGATCATTTTGTCTTTGGATGTTCGTCTTGTTGTTGCATGCTGATCTATATACTGCAAGGTATAATTTACATTTTATAAAATTTTTATTAGTTCAATGTTTTAGTTTATGATTTTGGTTAGTTGTTTTCACAAAAGCATTTTGTTTTAGTTCGGTTATTTTGAAGAGTTACTCACCCTTGAGTACCTCTTATTAAAAATAGAAGTGTGGTCACAAAGCGTGGATGTATCTCGGTGGGTTAGGCCGGCTATAGAGCATGCTCAGGACGTCCTCTCTGGTGGGTTAGGCCAGGAGTGGGAGTATGATTTCGTGCGGTTTCTATGAGAGGTCCTGTTATGTGATAACGTTTTATGTCGGTTTTGTAGTGGTTTTTCTTATGTTTCGTTGGTTGTGTCCTTTTTTCAAAAATCAAATTGTTTTTGGTATGGGTTTGTCTTTCGACTTTTTTGTGTTTTATTATTTCTTTCTTAGACTTTATAATTCTAGTCTAATTTTATAAGAATAAATTATCCAGTTTTGAACTGGGTTAATCCGGTTTGGGTACCGTTCTTTTCTTTTCTTAGTCATGCTGTTATTTTATGATTTGTGGTGTTTAGTAAGCTGCGTTGGTTAGTTTGGTTTAGTATATAATTCCTTTCCAACCGGGTTAAAGGAAAGATTGAAACTTGTTATCGTGTGTTAGAGTTGAGTGTGAAAACTTGAAACTGAAATTCATTATTTAAACAATTCTTCGTGGGCGAGCTGTGCGAGTTGGGATAGAATTCTTGTGCGAGTGAATAAAAATATCAAAAGGTTAGTACTGCATTTTCGTCTTATCAATTTACTACATAGAATTTTAATTTTACTGCTAGTTTTGGGGAAAAATTAAGTTACAAATTTTCATCATTATTAAATTTACTGCTTTTGGGGAAACAATTTATAAATGAATTTACTACATTTGTATGAATTTTATCATATTTATCTAGTGCAAAATATGAATAGAGTTTTGAAGAATTTTAACAAGTCTTTTATTTTTTATTTTTCTTTTCTGATTTTTGCAGATGATCGTGGGATGAAGACTAAAAATCCAAATGATACATGAATAAAGAATGGTTAGTATTTATTTCAAATTTATTAGTGAAGAATATGTATAATTTATACTTACCTGTTTAGTCGTCGGGGAAAAAACCGTGGGGGAAGATGTCGTGTATGATTTCGGAATTTGTTAGTAATTTTGCTAGTATGCGAATGATGTTTTTAGTTTGAAGCAGTGGCCAAAGCAATTGAAGTGCTTTAATAGTTTTTAGTTCTTCAGTGCCAACTGCAAACTCATAAGGTGTGTTTTGAATGAGGTTATATAATTTGTGATTGTATTTAGTGTTGTGGATGAATTCTAATAATGGGATTTCTATAGGTTGGATAAATTCATGTGGGATAAGGAAGGGTCTGGATTCTTCTGCGTTAAGGGTCTTTGTGATGGAACAAAAAATATACATTTGGGTTATGGGATCATAATTGCGGAGGATACCGTGAAGGTTAGTATCTTTGATGCAATATGTGAAATTTAGAAAAAATGGATAAGTGTATTTAGAGTTAATAAACTGAAATCTGTGGTGTGGTTGTCTTGATGGAGTGTGTAGATCAAAATGATTTTGTATGAAACGATAATATGTATATGTGTGGGTTTGTTTAGTGCGTAACATAATGTCGTGTGAGCAGTGCAAATCGCGTTCATGTGGTGCAAGGAAGTTGAAGGTTAGTGAAAATAATTGAAATTTTTCTTTAAAATTTTCGTAAGCTTGCATGTCGGTTAGTGCTTCAGAAATGACGTGGTCGAATTTGCGATCAAATATATTGAGTGTAAATACATATGGTGTTTTGATGAAGAATTTTTCTGTGATTTGTGGGTTAGCGAAACGATCATTATCTAGAAATTGGTCTTGGTTAGTTCGGATGATGTTATGATCGTAGTATTCTAGCGTGTATTCGTTAGCTCGGGGTGCAGTGAATGTTTTTAGTGACTTTTTATATCCTATATAACTAAATTGTCTATGTGTTAGTGGTGTGGTGAGTCGATATAGCATATCTTGATTTCTTTCTATATCGATATGAGTATTAGATAATGGTAGGCAAAGGGGATTAGTAAAATGATAATATGATGTCCAATGAAGTGTAGGCATTAAAACACAAAATTACGTGTGTCGTTAGTGTCATGAGGAGTGTTTAAAGTATATTGTGGAAATGAAGGTAAGGTGATTGCTAAAAAATCTTTGGTGTTAGTGTGATTTGGATGATTAATATATTCACGGGATGTTCCTGGTTTTGTTGGGAATGGATGGTTTGGGAATTTTCTTTTGAAAGTGCGATAAGCTCTATTAGTGCTATTTGATGATTCGGTGGATGTGGATGATTGTGCTAATGATGCGGTATAAGCAGAAGAGGGTGTAGGGGTAGGTGGGTTTGATGATTCTATTGTGGAAGAAATCTGATTTATAGTGGGGGTGTCAAGGTGTAATGGTTGTTGCTGTAGGGTGATAAAATTATCGAGTTCCTGGGAGATTTGGGGAATATCTGGAGAATTGGATGATCGGTCTGAATGAAATGAAGAGTAGGTTGGGGTGACTTGCCAAGCGTAAGAGGGTGTAGAAATAGATGGGAGTTGGTTACTTGGTGGGATTGGTTGAAAAGGGGGTGTTGAAAAAATTGAGGAGTTGGTTTGAAAATTATTGGATGGAGATGGTTCAGAGTCTGCAAATTCATCAGGGGTTTCAATATTAGGGTTATTGAGTTGTGAGATGGAGTATAAAACTGAAATATTTGAATTAGTGTCTGAATTCATGCCTGATGTTATATTACTTGGTGGGAAATCGGGTGGCGGGAAAGCAAAAAGTGGAATTATTGTAATTGGAGTATTGAGGTTGGTTGGATGGGAATATGAGCGGTGTAGGGATCCAAGTTGTCGGCTCATCGTGGGCTAAAAAAATTATTATTTTGAGACTGAAAAGCGGTGGTATGTGGATGTTCGATAATTTGTTCATATGTATTTTCATCTTGTGAATGATGTGTCATTATATGTTGTATGGGACTTTGTGATATGTTTGTCTAAAGTTTGGATTATGTGTTATTGCTAAATTTCGAAAATTTCGTGGGACTAGGGATAATGGATGGTTATGTGGTAGGGGTGGTAACTGTGGTGCAGTAGGCGTTATTTCTATATTATTATGTTCTTCGTCGTATGTGTTCTGTCTTGTTGCTATTTTTGTATTGTATTCTTTTATTTGTGCGTCTAAAAGAATTTTATTTATTGATGATGAAAAAATTCCAAAAAATCCTGCAAATAGTATGCGTGCTACACTTGCTTGTCTATTTACTTGTGTGTGTATAGCACATGTGTTATATATTCCTTTTAAAAGTGAGAAAAGAAATCCTATAAAGTTAAACATTGCGTATAGAATAGTCAACTTTTCTCAGATGTAATAGGGCCATCCTAGAAAATCAAGAATTTCATTTTTTAGTGTAACAAAGCTAAAGATATTTATAGGTGAGATATCTTGTGGTCGGT